AGACTTTATACAAATGTGAGATAATCATGATAATTAAACCACTGTTATTGAATACAGGGAGGCCTTATTGTTCCCTCATCCTGCAGTGAGCAAACTCCTGGCGGACTCTTTAGCACACTGAAGAGATAATTTGCTAAATCATATACCACTGCCCTGAAAGTCTTACTTACCTGCAGCCAGGGACAAGCTCCCACCCCACAATGATGCTAATAGCAGCCTTCTGTGGTCCCGCACTTTACAGTTTACAAAGCACCTTCAGGGAGCATCTCCCACTCTGTGTCAGTAGGATCGGGAGGGATGGAGAAGGAGAAAATGGTGCCTGATGGATAGATGGGAAATATGGTGGACAGACGAGCCTAGAGGGCCACAGTGAGGAGGACCAGAGCGCCTCAAATCTGGAAACACGCTGAACATTTAACCCAATGTCTACATTTTGTAGATGAGAACACTGAGTTTCCAAGAGGTGAAGTGGCCCAACCTGGGGCCCCCGCTGGCCTACGAGGCACCTCTGTGCAAGGCAGAGCACTCACCCAGCTGAGACAGGGTCAGCCAGTTGGTAGCTCCAGCCCTACATGCCTGGCAGAGCACTCTCGTTGGACTCTCCATGGAGGACTGTTGCCATGTTGCAAAATGTGGTTCTCATCTTTATTCACATAGGAGAGGTCCAGAGATTGGAGGTGATTGCTAGCATTGAAAGAGGGCTTGTTACCTGCATTGCCTCCAAGAGGAGGGGCGCACAGCATTGTGGGGGCTGCACTGGGGAGCACCAGGGCCAGTGAGAGGGCGGAGAGAGGTGTAGGGGAGAGGAGGTGGGCCGAGGCAGGGTCCACAGGCCTAGGATTGCCTGGTTGGGATACTGTGGGCGGTGGGGGGGATGGGGGCTGTCCCTCATGAACTAACACCTGGTGATTGGTGGCCTGGAATGTGAGAGGCCAGTTAAGAAGGTGGCAGGGCCTGTGGGCTCAGGACTGGTTGCTTTGCATATGAAAGCCAGGTTCCTACACACTGGTGCACGATTTGCTGTGTGAGAATTAGCCAGCCCTGGGGGGTCCCAGAGGGGATAGGTCCCTAAGATATCAAAACATCAAAAATACAGAATAAAAAGACATAATTAACATGTGCTTCGAAGGACTTTAGAGACCACAGTATCATTTCACAGAGGAGACACCTAAGGTCAGAGAAATAAAACCCCCAGGACTCCAAGTCCAGGTGACCTAGCAGAAGCAGCTCTGGTCATGGCCTATGCTCCAAACCTTTCAGCCACCCCCTTGGCTGGAACATAATCTCCAAGCACCTACATTTAGAGACCTCAGTCCTTGACGTGCTGGTCTCATAGCGGCCAGCTCTTTATGGATAGTCTCGAATTTGGTGCTTTGGGAGTTAGGAGCAAGCCCAGTGTTTTTCCATCTGGGCTGCTTACGCCACCACAGCTCCTTCCCATCACCTTCCTGCCAGCAGCCTCCTCGTGCCCTGCTTCTTCCCTGGCCACCTACTTCTTCCTAAAAACTGTAGTCACCGCTCAATGTCCACAAAGGCATGAAGGATCACATACTGAACACTGCCTTTCATGAGCTGAGAATTTAGCCTCCTGTTATAGCTGTGATTGCTTTTGCTTGAGTTTGTTTCCTATTTTGTTCCTTTGTTAGAGTCAGCTGGATGTTCCCAGAGAGAAAGGATCTCATTTCTAAACCCTCCCCTCAGAGTAGATGCCCCAGACCCTGGACCTCCTCTCTACCTGCAAATGTACCTTCAGAGCTCCTGTGCCCGCGCACACTGCTTTCCCTGCTGATTTAAAATCTTAAAATAGATTTCTTCTTCCAAAACATCCCTCTCCACAAAGCCAACCCACCGAATCAAACTCATTATCTTAAGACATCTCTATGGCCAAAGGTTATGCTTTGCGGAGCTATATTAATCTCTTTGTCTAAACAGCACAAGCTTAATTGGTTGAGATCAGAGTTGTACTGTTTTGAGTAAAAGGGTGTGATTAATGTGAGCTAAAGATGGTTGGACCTGCACAGACTAATTCAGTTGCATACACAAACCTATTATCCTCAGAACCTTGAGGGCCTGGGGGACCTGCCTCGTGGGCAAATATCCTCTTGGGAAAAACACAGGGCCCAGAGCAGGCAGGGCACTGCGGACACCTCCCCAGCCTCTGTGCATATGAAGTAGCTGGTGGTGTGGAAAGGGAGTACCTACTGCAACAGGCACTTGATTTTCTTTGGGGTCCCCATTAAGGAGAAAATGTGGTTGCTACCTGCTTGGCCCCAATTAGAATACAGCTTGATTGCTTCCTGATCAAAGCACAAGTTGTCTTCCTTTTGTCCCCCAAATTCACTAGCCAGCCTTCCTTTCTAACCTTCCATTCAGAACCTTGGTCTAGTCTCTGTGAACCCTCTTGCCTTTGATGCAGGATCTGGTTAGGGAGTCAGAGCAAGAAATTGGAGAGCAAGAGGAGAACAAGGTCAGTGTGTAGCACTCTGTCGGGATCTGGAACCCCTGAAAGTCACACGCCCTTCACACCAAGCATGGAAAGAGCCATACTTCCAGCCCCAGCTACTGCACTGAACCTAGGTGGTTTCACTAGCTTACTACACACCAGCTAGGGCCACAGGATTTACATATATGTGTTTATTCACGCCTCAAAAACTATCAGTTCTGCACAACTCATGCCCCTTGTTGTAGAAGTGAATACAAACAGGCAGAGGAATTTGCCCATGGCCATAGCTGACTGGCAAGAATCAGGATGGTCAGCTAGGCCACTGTAACCATCCCTCAGCCTTCTACTCACACATCCAGCAAGAGAGAAAAGCAAACGTGCAGGCACACCTGCGTTAGGAAACAGTGGAAGCAGAGCATTGGGCTGCTGGACAGAGATCAAGACACGCTGAAAAGTCTAGGGTGGTGTGGAGTAGCAATGGGAAGGGCAGGAGGTGTTCAGATGCGGACGGGAAGCTGGACCAGGGTGAGGGCAGGGGAAAGACTTGGAATGCCCATGTCTGCAGCCTGCATAGGCTTACATGTATGTGCTTTAATATGGCCTTCATCGGATCGAGACACATTCCTCTGTACCTACCTTGTTGAGAGTTTTTGTCATGACAGATGCAGAATTTTGAAATGTCTTTTGGGCATCTATTGCAATGATTGTATCATTTTTGTCCTTCATTCTGTTAATGATACATCCCATTTATTGGTTTGTGTACTATTTATTGATTTGAACTATCCTTGCCTCCCTGAGATGAATCCACCTGATCCTGTCAAATAATCTTTCTACTGTGCCATGGAATTTTGTTTATTGATAATTTGGTCGAAGATTTTTGCAACTATGTTTATCAAGAATATTTGTTAGTAGTTTTCTTTTTTCTTTTTTTTTTTCTTTTCTTTCCATGCATCCTTATCTGATGGCCTCACAAAATGAGTATTCCGGCTTTTTCAGTTTGAGTAGAATTGGCATTTGGTTTTTAAAAGTTTGGTAGAATTTAAGGATTATGTCCACAGATTTGTTCCCCAACTTCCTGCTTGGGGTTGGGGGTGCACAAACTAGGGAAACAATAGCCCAGCCCTTCCCAGGGTAGAAGAGGACACTCACACCTGGGATCCAATTTAGTTGATGCCACAGGACAGAAAGAACAAAGGACCAAAACACTGCAGAAACAGAAAGTTCTACTTCTGTTTAGCAGGGCTGCCAAATGGGCATTTGTCTCAGGCGCAGAATTTGCTAGGGCACTGAAGAATTCTGAAACCAAAATAAATAATATTTGAGTACAACTTTAAAAAAAGTCAAAGTTATTGCAAAAAAAATCCACAATGAGCAAAAGATCAAAATTTTAAATAAAGACAGGATTGGTTTTACTCATTTCTCCTTTTGCCACAGGCTCTAGGGCAGAGTTTGTTCAATTTCATATTTATTTAACATTTTCATCTTTTGTCCATCCTGGGTTTTTGCATTCATTTTGATTTCTTTAATGCATTCAAATATCATTACTCTTGATGACTGAGATTTCCAGGAGCCTTTCAGTTTTCCAACTAGGCAAAGTGGCACACTCGCCTCTCATGAGTGCCAGCCCAGCTGGTGGGGCATTTGACCTTGAACTTTCTCTTCTCTTGTCAACCTCCGGTAGCCACAGGTATAAAGTCGACATGCTTTGCAGTCTAGAGTGATCACTGTATCATTAGAGTGGAGAACTGCCCAAGGAAAGTCAGTCAGGAGGAAACAAAAGACAAGTTGTACCTGCAGTAGTCTTGGGGGGTGGGGAGCTGAGAGGCAAGCACTGGAACAGGTTCCACAATGTGAACCAGGAACCTTTCTGTGCAGGAACGCAAGCTGATTCTTCAGTTCTTGGCCAATTTCCTCTTCCAAATTGTGAGCAGATGCACGTTAAATTAGGATTAATGGAGCTCTTTTGTGGTGCATTGAATTTGAGCCCTGCACAGTAATAGTTTCATAACACATCATTCAACCTTTCTAGGAGGTTAAAAATTATATACTTAAAGCTTTAGTGTATTTGTCTACAGTCTGAATGATTCCAAATGGAACTGATCAGTCCACTTTGTTAAAGAAAAACTGGTTAAAAAAAAGTGCATGCGCATAGCAATGAGAATCTGTACCAGTTTAGAACCCAGTAGTGTTTTTAATATAAATATCCAGTTCTTGATAGAATTATCCTGGGCCGCCCTCCGGTGCTATAACCACAGTGTTTCTACCACATATTTGGGTTGGATTCTTTGCACATTACTTATTTCCTAGAAAATCTTTAGAGAGGTCTGGACTGAATAGTTATAAAAATTATTGTAATGCATTTTCTGTGCATATTAAATTAGCTCCCCAGACTGATAAAAGGTTGAAAAGCTATTATTCTTTATTCTTCAGTTTACTACAACCCTAAAGTAATAGCATTCTATTAAAGTTTATTGATTGCTCCCACTGTTAACTAGCGAGTTGGTATATAAAAATAAAACAGAGAAATCTGCCATTTCTGCCTCTTTTCTTTTCACAGCACGTGTCCCAGGAGGAAGATTTCAAAGGACCCGGGTTGGCTGTACATTGGATTCATCAGAGGTTTTGGTTTAATTGTTTATTTTTGTTTGTTGCTTGTTTTTATGTTTCCAAAACATCTGAGTCTTTGAGAAAAATTTACTATGTTTTCCTCCTCCCTCTCTCTTTCTCCCTCTCTCTCTCTCTCTCTCTCTCTCTGGTTTTCGAAAGAAAAACCAAGAATTGTGGTCTGGGAGCGGTGCTGGATCAAAACATCTCTTGCCACATGACCAACGGTTCCTCTGTTCATTTCCCAACACCCCTCCACCCCCTGCTCTGTGGCGGGCACTATTACTCCAGGCAGAAGGGCTTTAACAGAGGAGAAAGCGGAGGGTCCACTCTTAGGATGCCAATAAAGATTTACTCCATAGGAGGCCTATAAATGCTGTAAGGAAAACCGTGGGATAAGGAGGCAGGGAGCTGTGAGTTATTCTGGATCAGGAGGTGAGGAAAGGTGCTCTGATGAGGGGTGTTCCCTACAGCCGGTGGGAAGGGAGCCAGACTCACACACACCCAGGCACAGGGACCTCAAAGGAGGTTCTGATTAGCAAAACAGCATCTGAGCCCAAACAGATAACAGGGGCATGACTGGTTTGGGGACCATGCATTACCGGAGACCTGGGACTGGACTGATAATAAGCCAGCAGGGAGCCCATGGCTGAGTGAGAAGATTACAGTGTGGAGGGAACATGGGGCAGCTTGGAGGCTTACAGGGCAACCAGTCCCTTGACAACTGCCACAGCTGCTCCCAGGCACTGTAGGGTCCTCGTGGAGCCGGGGGACCTGGAGGAAGTCAGGGAAGAGCGCTCCATCTGCCTGCTGGAGATGACCTCTGCCCTGCAGTCCAAAGACAGGGGACCTCTGGGTCACCTGAGCCAGCCCAGGGAAAGGATGAGGACAGCGGGAGCCCTTGACTGGCACAGCAGCCTGGGGGCAGGGAGTGACCAGAGGAGCAGCCAGCTCAGGAAGGGGTAGGTGGAGCTGGTGCAGGGACTTCTGCTTTCATCCTGTGGGGGTTAGAGCAAGAATGTCACTTTGCCGGGTATTTACTTTAGAAGGGATCCACCCAGCAGCCAAGTAGAAAAGGGAAGGGGAGGATTTTAGGGACAGAGAGACACCATTGTTCTGACTATCTCCTCATCAGCTACATAACCACAGTGGTTAAGATGATTCCTGAATTTCCAACCAGCTCTAAAACTTGGGAGCACCTAGTAACTTTAAAGCTCCCCCCAGGTCCCCCCATCTCCCTTCTCAGAAACAAAGAGGTTTGGGAGCCTTCTGTGCTGTTTTGTGCTTTTACCCCCTGAGTAGCTATGAGCCCTGTCTCCTTTTTTTTTTTTTTTTTTTTACAAAATGGATTCTTACACCTCACCTTCTCCCAGCTACACATGCATGATGGTCTGTCTTTGTGCTTAAAATTGATGTTTACTTTTTTTCCTCCCTTCCCTCTCTCTCTCTCTGCTAATGAAAATGAGTTTGGTGCTTGTCCTGATGGTGCCTGGCTACAGCCCTCCCATCCAGAATAATGGTGCCCGCCCGCCTTAAAATATTCGAGCCCAAGAAATGCTGAGGCAGCGCCGATGTGGGAAGCAAGCACTACATTTTTATCCTCGTGTGAAACTCTAAAAAGTAAAACCGGTTTACATAAATCAGGACACACAGGAGCGACCCAGGGCACGGCTTCCGGGAGACAAAGGCCGACAATCAGCATGAAATGGGATCAGCTTATTTAAAGGGAGCGCTCTGGAAGCTTCTGTGAGCCCTGCAGGGAAGCCTTGTGGGGCTGGGTCCCCGGCTCCAAATAACTGCAAGTGCAACTTTGTAATGTTTGACCTTGTCCGGGAGAAGGATCAGATGAAGCCTGTCCACACCTCAAGACTCAGCAGCACGGCCGCATGAAATGGGCAGGCGTCATAGTGGAGGGAGGAAGCTACACAAATGTAAACTCTTTCCAAAGTTGATGGTAGTCAATGAGCAGCTGTTGCTCAGCCCAGGACTACATTTCCCAGGTGGCTTTGCGCCTAAGAGAGTCCACGTGACCAGGTGGTACCAATGACATGTAAGTGGCTAAATTGGGGGGGGCGGAGCATCTCCTCCACTGTCCTCTCCTACACACAGCGCTGGGCAGAGCGCTGAGAACAGAGCCCCCGAGTGGGAGAAGTCCAGGGGTCTGAATCACCAAATGGATGTGGCATTTTCCAAAGCACCTGCCAGGCACAAACCCCACTGAAGCAGTCTGATACATAAGCACAAGTGAACAAACTTCCTTCTACTGGCTACTGAGAGATGGTAGTGTGGTAGGGCACTTAGCATCACCCCAAGTAACACAGGAGTCAACTGGAAATGTTGGTGCTGGGCCTGTGGGACACCCCCTGCTCCCTGGTCTTCAGTTTACTTATTCATCATATGCAGATGTTCTTGACCTATGCTGAAGGCTCCACTCTGTAACTCTGTAACCTTCCAGTGCCCTGGAGACCTGGCAGGAAGAGCCAAGTCCTGCAACTTGATCTTTAGTTTGTGAATGAATGGGTGATAATGCCGGTACTTTCTCTTAGATTGTAAAGAGGATTAAGTGAGATAATGCACGTAGATCATTTAGCAGGGTCCCTGCTGGGTGCAAAGTGGTAACCATTATTTTTCTCACTGTTATTATTATGGCTATTTTGATATAATTCTGCTGAACTTCTGAGAGGTGGCTATTACGAATGTTGTGATTTCTACAAATCAGAGAGTTCTGAGAAAGGCAACCCAGTTCGCAGAGTTGGTCAGACACAGGACCTCATTCAAGATCTGTCTCCAAGTTTTCCCCTCTGTGAGTTGCCCCCCACACACACCCTGAGCAAACAGGGCCCCTCAGAGTAGGCAGGTCTCAGGGCAAGCGTGAAATACACCCAAATGGAAGGCATCAGAGCTAATTGGCTTTTCCCCCAATGCAGATTTCTTCCTGACAGGCAGCAGGACAAAGGCAGGAACAACTTGTTCCTCATCCTGTTGTATAAATAAGGCCGACACAAATGGCTTGGATAAAATAAGCACAGCCCCGAAACTTCTGAAACTAGAACCACATCCAGAGGGACTTTATTTTTTTCTCTTCTTTCTCTCTCTTTTATTATTTTTGGGGAACTTAAAAAGAAGCCTGTTCCTATTTTTTCTCCACAGTCACACTGTCCAAAATGTAAAAACATAGAAAATGTGAATTGAGAGGAGAAATAAAAATACTCACTTGGATTAGAAAATAAATCAAGGAACATGATACATTCTGGTGTGTAGGAATTAGCTTGGAATCATGACTCTCAGCTCCCTGGTTCAGAGGTCATAGGTCAAGGAAATGCAGCCAAATAAGCCGAGGGTGCTATTAATTAGTAATCAGTGTGGCTCCCTGGCAGTTGATCAATAGCTCTGCATTTCTCAGGGCAGAGAGGAGCCACTAGTGGCTCGAAGGGACACTAGCACCTGCTTAGGTGCCTATCTCAGGGACATGGTGCTCAGAGCTGTTGAACCATCTTTATTGCCCCTCACCCTACAAAGCCTTTATCTAGAAAGCTTTAATAAGCCTTTCCACTTTTTCACAGCTTTAACTGGAAAAGCAAACACCAAGGAGTAAGTATGACCTCGTTTGGAGACCTGAGGACAGAGTGTGCAACTGTTTGTCACAGTCACAAGAAGATGATCCCAAACCAGTTGACAATTGCACTAGGTGTGTCATTCCCAGCCATAGCTTCTGTATGGCAGAGGCAGGTGGTCTCCACATAGAAGAGGCACCTGTAGGAAGGTACAGGTGGACCTGCAGACCCTCACATCAGCCAGTGGGAGGCAGGTGTCTCCCGAGGTCCCTAACTCCAAGGATCAGTGATTCTCATGCCTGATGCTGACACCCTCTTCCAGGAAACTGCTTAAGGAACCAGCCCAGACTGAGAAACCACATGGAAAATGATCACATTCCAGTGCTATTCAAAATCACCATTGAAAGAGAGTGAGTCATTTACAAAATAGAGAGATACACTTTTCCTAAGTACAGTCATTGCTCAGCATTGTGGAGACTACTCAAGTCCACTATATGAAATAGTGTAGTATTTGTGCATGACTCATGCCTGTCATCCAGTACACTTTACATCATCTCTAGATTACTTATAATACTAATTACACTGTAACATCTGTGTAAATGGCTGTTATACTGTGCTGTTTAGGGAAGGAGGACTCAAAACACGTCTGTACATATTCAGTACAGATGAAAATTTTTAAATAATAATTTTGACCCATGGCTGATTGAACCTGTGGATGTGGAAGCCTTCTATTATGGTTTCTATCTGGATGTGCCCCAAAGCTTGATGCTCTGACTTGTAGGTAGGCTTTAGGGAGTGATTGGATTGTGGAAGTGTGACACTCATCATTGGACTAGCCCGCTAACGAGGTGATAGCTAAATATGATACTGGGAGGTGAAGCTCGAAAGATGGAGGTGGGCCACAGGGGCATGGCTGGAAGGGCCTATCTCCCTCCCTCCTCTTTTGACCTTGTTCTCTCTTCCTGCTGCCATGCCATGGACTGTTTCTTCTCTGCCATGCCACCCTGCCTTGGAGCCAGCCAATTATGGTCTGAAACCTCTACAGACTGTGAGCCCAAATAAACCTCTCTCCTTTAGGTTATGGGTTTCAAGTATCATGTCCCAAGAAGGAAAAGGTAACTAAGACACCATCTGTAGATATGGGGGGCTACTGTAATATTTCAGAAACGGTCCAATCAAGACTAGATGTGCCATACATTAAAATATATTCTAAAACCATGCACAATGAAATGCTGTGTCAGAACCAGAAAGACTTGATTAACAATGCAGTGGGAAGGAGTAGGTAGCTCAGATAGTGGATCAAAGTTTCAAGGGTTCTGCTATCCTTGATTATTTTTTAAGACCAAACTGGTGCCTGATAATGATAACAATTAACTAATATTTATTGAGTCAAAAATGACAGAAAGGGAATGTTTTTAGTAAAAGAGTTCAGAATTATTATTCAGTGATTTAGGAGAAATATCTTTTCAAAATCAAACTTGCAGAGTAGATTCTGATGGATAGATTTCAATATGAAAAATGTAAATATTAGATTAGAAGTAAACTATTTATCAGAACTGTAGAAGATTGCAAATATCTTGGGCTTTGACACCTGGAAAAAAAAACACAAAGGAAATGGGCATTACTTTCCTGTATATAAAAATTAAACTATAAATAAATAAGTTGGAATAACTGGGTATAAATGAGTGACTCCAACAAATAACTAATTAAAAATGAAAGACAGACTTCAAACACGAGTACATATGAGTGGTAACCAGGAAAGTTATCTCTCCATTGTAATAGAGAAATGCAAGCGAGAGGTACAAGTTCACCAGGAGAGACAGTTCATTAAGTCTGATGCTCTCCAAGTGGCCTGTGACCCCGTCCCACAAAGTCTCTGAAGAGCATGCAACCCATGAGAGGAGGTCTGTGATAAGAATACAGCTACTGGGCTGGGGATTTAGCTCAGTGGTTTCACCGCCTGCTGCACAAGTGCAAGGACCGAAGTTCGACTCCCAGTACCAGAAAAAAGAATACAGCTACTAAAAAGTCAAACTCCACAGAAAAATTGCAATCTGGCCACAATTATGTGAACTATTGGGACAATTATGTAAAAATGAAAAGCTGTTAAACATGGCATTTTTTGTTTTGTTTTTCCACAATTGTCATTAGGGCTGTTGCAGCATTTAAAAAATAAGCAATTGTCCTCCACCATTACAGATGCATGGGACAGAGGAAAGGAGCAGGACTTTCTGAGTCATCTAAGAGCGCCAGGGCCAGGTACTGCCAACCACGCACACACAGCATCGCTGCCAGCCCCCATCAAGGGGTACTGGTGACAGCAGTGCTCGTGTGTGTGTGTGTGTGTGTGTGTGTGTGTGTGTGTTGACTGGCTGATGGGCTGCATTCGTTACAGTCCATGTATCTGTGTGTATGTGAACCAAGCTTGACACCCACTCTCACTTCTTAGCTGGCGATTTGGGCCAGTTCTCCTAACCTTTCTATACCTAGTTTCCCCATGGATGCAAGGAGAACAATATCGTATCTCTCAGAGAGTTGGCATAAATGCAGCCTATCTATATCATCTGCCAAATATCAGCTACCTGCCTCATACTATTTACATACAAAGGGCCTAATGGATCTTTGGCTTATGAATAGCTACCATGGCAGCAGATACTCACTACGACAATCAGCGTAGGACAGACACGCTAGACCCTCTTGGGTTTGAATCTAAGCTCAGCCATCCGATGGCTGTGTGATCCTGAGAGAGTTACCCACCGCCTCTTGGCTTCAGTTCCGCCTTCTGTAAAAGAAGGATAACTATGGTCACCTGACCCAGAGGAAGGGCTGGAGGGTTTGAAACAATGCTCAGTTAATATGACTCGCCATCTGCTGGCCAGAGGTTTGTGTTTCTTTGCCTGTTAAATGACAGAAGTTGGGGCCTTAATCAAACCTCATCAAAACACAAAGAAGGACTCAAACTGGGCAGAAACTGGAGGCAGGTCATGCCTCATCACAT